ATTCATCTAGACTACTGTTGACCCTTGATCAACGGTGGTTTCAACTGGCGCGCGCATTGCGCTTAGCTCAGAAGCATTGTCCCGTTTCCGACATGGGCATCAGGGGTACACGTGAGCATTGCACGGTTCGGAGGGTCCTGAACGGGGCCCAACCTTTTTTTTTTTTAATATCTTTGTTTTGTTTTGTTGCTTCCTCCTCCTAAAAACACAATTGGGGGATTCAAATCTGCTTTTTTTTTTTTTTTTTCAAAACATAAGCAAGGTGTTTCAAATATGGTTGCGTTGAATAAAAGAATAAATATGACTAATAAAAAATATATTTTGTTTAAAAAAGAAAAGTCCTTTAGTTAAATCAGAAGGTTGCATCGCGTCCAATTGACCAGATAGCGCGATATTCTCGCATTATGTCTCCGCAAGCACGTTCGTGGCAACCTATTGCGATCAGAATCGTCCCAGTTTTTTTTTTAAAAAATCTTTTTGTGACTTCGACGTCGTGCTTTTTTTTTTTCCCCCTTAATAATATTATTCGAACACTGTTTTGGTGAGTGGAGTACAAGTTTATGACGTGGCATTTTATAAAGTTTTTTCACCTCTCAATGATCACAACAATCTAAAATACTTGTACAAATAATTGATGCATTGTAAAACTGATCTCATCATTCCTTAAACTTTCCGAAATTCGCGACATTATTTTTTTAATATGAAATTCGCGACTATATTCATGTTCGAGAGGACACCAATGGGTTGAGAGGGGAACTTGAAAATTGGTTTTAACGAAGACGTGATCCCTTACTCCATTCAGCAGGAGAACATGAGCCGTGATTGATCGATCCATTGGACAATGTGGGTGGACAGGGCTCTCACTTTTTTTTACTATATTTGCCAAAAAAATGGATCATGGGCCTCGTTCACAACATAAATCCAGCGTCTAATGGGCCTTATATATGCCATCTTCAAAACAACTCTTTTGCGCTTGTTTTCTACCCCAAAAAATAAAAAAAAAATCATTTGTAGCCAGAGGATAGTCTCTCAGTTCTAATATTTTTATAGTAAACTATCCTCATTTTTACACCCAAGTCCCAACCTTCTGAAGGATCTTTTCCTTCGGAAACATAAAAAAATTTAGAAAATTCATCATTAAAATAGAAATATAATAAAAAAATAGTTATATTATCCATAACTTATAAAAAGAATGAATTTTTATAAATTATAAATATGTATGTATGTATGTATGATAGAATGTGAGAAACCAAGAACATAAAGTTAGAGTAACAAATAGAAAAGTGTTAAGATGGATGTACAGGCATACATATAAAGATAAAGTCCAAAACGAACACATGCAAAAAAAGTGAGCGTAACACCTATTAAAAGAAAAATGATAAAAAAATTGTTCAAAATGATTTGCACATATACAAAGATTATAGCGAGAGGTATTAGTGAGAAGAGTTGAATGAATAATTTTGAGCTATGTTAAGAGAAGTTGAGGAAGGTTGAAGATAATATTTGTGAAAGTTATTGACTGATATCTCTTAACTAACAATATTTTTAAAAAATTGGTAAATGATAGAATATAATGATGTTGTACAATCTATATAAGCAACCCAGCCTAATGAAACTTATTTATTTATTTATTTATTTTTAGATTTCCACCTAGTATCCTAGAGTATTTGGGTATTTTGGATTCTATTGCCAACCTAGCTCAATTCAAACTAATCTAGATTTCCACGGGCCCTTTTCGTGGGGGTTTAGCAGGTATCAATTGTCTAGGCTCCTAACTATTTAGACAAGCATCCGTTGATATGGAATTTGTTATTGTATGTAGGCATGTATGGTGCTGGCCATCGGTACATTTAAATGTGGGTATTCGCGGGCCAGTTTGGTTTAGTTAGGGTGGGCTTTGTTGAGGTTTTTTTTTAACAGCATCCAAAAACATACGTGACTCAATTCGATTAGTTATATTGGGCCGAGCCTATCATCTGTTGGGTTGGACTCAGAAAAATGTGACTCAATTTCAATGAGCCCAACCAGCCCAAAGTACTTGGTTCCATTACATGTACAAGTTTCTTTATGCAATCACCGACACTTCCTTAAGCCTTACCGCGTGAATTAAGTAATTAACAGAACCAGCCAGACTTTAAAAGGTGTGTTGTGTTTCATTAATTTATTATATTTTAATTTAATCAGGATTCCAGATAAATTTATAGCTCTCCTGATTTTCTTCTTCACTCTTGATATTCAAAAGATCCGCCATTAGAGAGGCTTGGCTGTTCATTCTATTCTAGTTATCTCGCTACAATATGGGTTCTCTGTCCCCATTTTCAGACGCTGTTTCTCCCTCACCATCCAAACAATCCCTTCCTCTGATCGACGAAGCCGCCCTCCTCAGCCTCTTCAAATCTCAGCAGAACCACATCAACTTCTTCTTCAACAACATCGACCATTCCCAAACCTTGGCATTCACTCGTACCCTTCTCAATTCCTCCGGTACTATCTTCTTCACCGGTGTCGGCAAATCTGGATTCGTCGCTCACAAGATCTCGCAGACTCTAGTCTCCCTCGGCATCACCTCTGCATTCCTGTCCCCCGTCGACGCTCTCCACGGCGATATCGGAATTCTCTGCGGTCGTGACGTTCTCGTCCTCCTCAGCAAATCTGGTAACACTGAGGAACTTGTTAGGCTTGTTCCCTGTGCCAGGGCCAAGGGGGCCTATCTGATCTCGGTTACCTCCGTCGAAGGGAATGTGTTGGCTGGCATGTGCGACATGAACGTGCATTTGCCTTTGGAGAGGGAATTGTGTCCCTTTAATCTGGCGCCGGTGACTTCCACAGCCATCCAGCTGGTTTTCGGTGACACGGTGGCGATTGCTCTTATGCAAGCCAGAAATTTGAGCAAGGAAGACTACGCCAGCAATCACCCCGCTGGGAGGATCGGCAAACACCTTATCTTCAAGGTGCGGCTTAATTCCGTGTTGCTTTCTTTACCATTTTGTTAAATTTTTATTCCGCAAGATGATCCATGTTATGGAGATGGAAGAATTACGAATAATGAAAATTAAACTGGTATAAATGACGATGCATAATTAGCTCACCATTGTGTCTCTTATTGTTGAACAACTTGTTATTTTCTCATCAATAATCGCTAATTCGTTATATAGTAGGGATATTTCTTGTGATGGTCTAATGATTCGTTATTTTCTGGTTCTTTGTTGGCTTTGTGGTGACAATGCGAGACTCTAAGAATTTTACTGATCGTAGCTGATCTGGGTTCACCGTTATGTGCTAACTCAGGAATAGATTTGATTTATATTGCCAACACATGTTTCCATTCCCATTTATTTTAACCTTGAGAACGTCAGATTTTGTCGTTAGAGTTGAAATGTGGCTTTGGCTTCTGGTATGCTGTTTCTTACCAATCACATTTTATTGCCGCATGGTTATTGCTGTTTGATAGGGATTTAGAACCTAGAGTAGAGTAGTGGGAATGGCATTTTCAAATATTGAACTTTTATAGATATCAAGAACTAAACTTACGACCAGAGTTTAGGCACATGCATTCTTGAAGCCGAAGTAATATCTTCTAATGGAGAAGTCACTTTTAGAGCGTTATTGCTTTGACTCTTCTGCTCTTGTTTCTTGTCTTCTGTCCTTTTCGTGAGGTGAGCATTAGACAGAAGACTACTCACTAATTAATGTTGTAGTTACTGCAGATTATTACCACAAATTTGGTTTCCTCAACTGTCGTGTTCTCTTAACAGTGGCTTCTAAAATACATAGATGCTCATCATCTAAAAAGTAAAAGATGGCTTGATTGCCATGTGCAGGTAAAGGATGTCATGAAGAAGCAGGACGAGCTTCCTGTTTGCCGGGAAGCAGATCTAATTATGGATCAGCTGGTGGAATTGACGAGTAAAGGATGTGGATGTCTGCTTGTTATAGACGAGCAACGCCATCTGATTGGAACATTTACAGATGGTGATCTACGACGCACTCTCAGAGCTAGTGGGGAGGGCATTTTCAAGCTCACTGTGGGCGAAATGTGCAACAGGTAAGAGCATGTAATTGCACAATACATCTATTTGGAAAGCTAATTCTTTCGTAATCGCGTAATAGTGAAAGTGATATCTTCTGAGGTGACATTATTTTAATGTCAGGAAACCAAAAATCATTGGTCCGGATGCCATGGCAGTGGTGGCCATGAAGAAGATGGAAGCACCTCCATCACCAGTACAATTTTTGCCTGTCATCAGTGATGAAAATGTCTTGATTGGCATTGTTACTTTGCACGGTTTGGTTTCAGCAGGGCTGTAATAACATCTGTGCCTGCAACAGCGTAGAGTGATTTTTGGAAAAATGATTCTATACCATTCTTTGTAGTATAATTGCAATGTTTGAATCCAGCCCCTATAAAGTTGGGGTTCAGCTGCTGTACCATGTATCAACGTTTTATTTTAAAATATGCTTTGTCAAATCCTAGGAAATGAATCACGTTATTTGTAGTTTTATGAATAATAGAGTTAATAATTGTGTAGGTGGGTGTTTTGATATGTTTTTTCATTGTCTTGAGAAGAAGTGCATTATTTGATGTGATGTTGATGCTATGTCCTATCCAACAGTAATGGGCAAAATTAATGATGGGAGCCGGGTGGTGCAGATAAATACCAAGGTAACAAAACTATACTTTTTTCATGCAACTCAGGATGAAACATTTGCAAGGGACTAAATCGAGCGCAAGTTGAATTATTCGCCGGTTAAAATCTATTTTTTAACATATATTTATTATTTGATACATGGAAAATAAATTTTAATCACTCAGTGCATACACACGCACACAGTATATGTCTAGTGTCTAAAAGTTTCTCTATTTTCTGCTGAACCATCGTCTCTTGATTCCTGAGTGGGTTATCACTTGTACCAATTATTATTATTATTATTATTATTATTATTATTATTTATAAATATAGGCAGCCTAACTAAGGCTGGGTAGTATTATTGCAATCAGCTAATAAAAGAGAAAATACATCAAGGGGCGGAGAGAAAACTCTAGTGAATCCTGGCCAAGTATTAAGGGTTAGTTTGGCAAGGCTATCAACAACAACATTACCATGTCTACAAGTATGACGCACACTCCCATGCCACTCTCTACAAAAGAATTCCTGAATCTCGCCAACAAGCATATGGTAATCGTGAAGAGGGTTATACTCTCTATTAACAAGATGAATTGCCTCAAAAGAATCACTTTCCACAATTGCTTTTCGGTGCCCTAAGTCCCACGTTTCCTTCAACCCAAGCAAAATTGCCCAAAGTACAATTTCAAGACTTTCTGTGCCAATATTTTCGTGAATAAACCCAGAAATAAAGTAACCAGTGTGATTTTGAAGCATCCCCCCACATCCTCCTATACCCGTCCGATAAAAGAAGGCGCCATCAATGTTACTAAGGATCCATCCCTGCGAAGGAGCTTGCCAAGTAGCAGTGTCAGTCCTTGTTTTTTATCCTAAAAAATTTGTCCCGGCTATAGCAGCCTTTTGTTTTGCCATGCTCGAAAGGACAAAGAGTGCTTGTGCATGTATGGACTTATTGCTTCTAGTTTCGTTCTCAAAAATATACTTGTTTCTTCTTTGCCAAAAAAGCCAATAGCACACTGAAAACAATTCACGTCAATCTAGACGCATCTTACTTCCTGGGCCATTCAAATTCCATCAGAGCCGTTGTGTAAGATTCAGGTTCAGGTCAAAAAACACACCTTGATGACTGGGATGCACTAATCGGCACTAGAATTGGTAAGTTTGCGGGCAATCTCGAAGAACATGTAACACATCTTCCTGGCAATTGGGACACCAAATGCATCAACCATCAGTGTTCATCTTTCTCTGTTTCCATGCTTTGTTGGTAAGCAACCTATTATGTAAGACAAGCCACATGAATGACTTACACCCTCGAGGAATATTCAACTTCCAAAGTTTGCCCCATATCATGTCCTTCGTTGGTTTTTTCTTAGACAAGCAGTAGTATGCATATTTAAATGAGAAAGCACCATGCTTCTCCCATTTCCACTTGACATCTTGTCCGCCATTAACAAGCTCAATGCCTTCACACACTCCTTTCTAGGTAGCCTTTATATCAACCCAAACTTTTGAGCCTACTCTCTACTTATTGATGGTTGGAATCACGTCACTTCCACATTTGTATTTGCTTCTAATAACCCGTACGTAGAGGTCATCTCTCTGTTTCATTAATTTCTATCCTAACTTCATAAGAAACGCTTGGTTTTAAGTCCTTGCATGCTTTATACCATGTCCTCCGTTTATTTTGCTTCGTCCCACATCATTCTAAGACGCTAAATGAATTTTCTTTTTATCTTCTATAGAGCTCTATATAAAGTCTCTATTCATTTGATCAAGAGTGGTCCGCCCCACAAGAGACAGTGGGGTAGCTTTCCAAGACGAAAGATGCTTTTTTAATCTTGTCAACAACATCATAAAATGTTTCTTTCTCTACTGGTTTAGTGTGAAGTTGAACTCCGAGACAGTGGCCACGATCGGCAGTGCGAGTAAATCCAAGCATAGAGATAATTTCATCCCATCAAACAATATGCACATTTTTTGAGAAAAAGATTTGAGTCTTAACATTCACTTTCATCTCGAAACTATCACGAAACTGGCTCATACACTGATTAATCACATTGGCTTGAGCTAACAAAGCTTCTGCGAAGAGAATAATATCATTAGCGAACAATAAATGTGATATTAGGGGGCCTTCCCTCCCAAGCCGCATAGGTTCCCATCTGCATCATCTATTTTCTGTTGGATTAAGTGAGCCAACCTCTCCACAAAAATAACAAAGAGATAAGAGAATATAGGGTCACCTTATGGTAAGAATGCCTCATATTTATTGCCATTCTAGAGAAGTTGCATAGTAGATGAAGGCATAATCTGAGTAATAACATCAATAATATGAGTAGGAAACTTGAGGTGGTCCATGCAATCAAAAAGAAAATCCCAATTAAGTTTACCGTAAGTCTTCGTCCTATTAGTAATCACTTTAGCAATAGCCTTAAAAATAACATTGCATAAACTTATGGGTCTCAAGCCATGTACCCTTTCAGGAGGAGATTTTTTCAGGATAAGAACAATAAAAATGCCATTTATTTCCTTAATTGCCTAGCGATTATTGAAAAAATATTTTACCGTCGATGTCACTGAGTCTCCTATATGTTCCCATTGACTTTGATAGAAAATAGCTCCAATGCCATCAGGTCCAGGTGATTTCAGCACTCCCATACTTCGAATGGCCTCCTTAATTTCATCGTCCTCGATATCACGACGAAAGCAGAGAAGGATCTCATCCTCAATCTGTGGATAGTTATACCGGGTATTCAGTTTTGGCCTGTCAAAATTGTCTTCAGTGAAGAGATCCTTGAAATAATTCATAGCCAATTCCTTTAGTTCACCACGGTTATTTGGTTGTTAATAATTTAGGAAGTAGGAGTATGCTCTGGTGTAATAACCGACAAAGATTCCTTCCTTTCAAAGCACAAAGTACTCATGAGATCTGGCGAACAAAACGAACTTTTTTCCGAGCCTCACTTCTGCCAAAATCAGGACAAGATGACATCAATTTAGATTTTACGCGGTCATAAAACGAAATATATATATATATGTATGTATGTATGTATGTATGGTATATTTAAACAAAGACAAGGGAAAAGGTATAATAAATGAAGTAATAAAATATCCTAAGCAAAAATGGAATAATAATTAATTTTCCCCCTTTTATATCATCATTTCAATATATATATATATATATATGAATACAAAAAATTAATTTTAATTTATTTGGATCTACTTTAAAACAAAATCAAGAACAGAAAATCTTAAGAGGAAACACAATGAAAGCAGAAAAGGTAGGAAAATCACAACAGGTTAAATTTTCCTATTTCTAATTGCGGTCTAATCAAAAGTCGAGAGGGGTTACAAGCTTTACAACAATGTGATTGTGGTAGAATTAAAACTTGAGCATGATTAACATGAAGCCCCGAAATGCAGCTCAAAGTCTAAACCATGAATGGATGCACCATTCGCACATCCAGTACTGCACCAACACAACTAAACATCCGAATCACTCACTGTATGGATGATTCTTTTACAGGTATAAACCCTTTCAGCACTGCTCCATGATTTTTTTTTTTTTTTTTTACTATCAGCAAGTCAAGTGTCATCATCGGATCCTGATGATGAAGCTGAACTATCTGAAGAAACATCAAATGACCTGATTTCCGGAAGAAGTGACACATAACCTGACGTTAAACTAAGACCTAGAAAATCCCTAGACACTTTTGGGTCATTTTCAGCCAAGTTTGGAATTGATGACTGAACCTTGCGCGACTTGAGATCAGGTTTAATGGCAGGAGCAGAATTGACTCCACTCTTGTGTCTTGCTGTAGATTGGTGACCCACCTTTTTCTGTTTTGCCTTCGATTTACCTACACATGTTGAGTCAGGTAACGGTGGCTTCAATTTTGCCTCAATGCTAGGAGAGATACCATCAGTGCCCGAACCTTTGGGCTCGACTGCATCTCTTTTCCGTTTCAGTGAATTCAAAAATGCCACTCTTGCTAAGGCAGTAGACGATGAAGCACTTGCATTTCCTGGGTTCTGTTTCGATGCTTTGGAGGCGACAGAGTGCACAGTTAATCCAAGATCGACTTTAGCCCATTTGTGGATAACACTTGCTTTTCCCTCCAAAGCAAGACAAAGGGTATTCAACTCACTGATTTCATATCGCCAGAGGATAAATTTGTCACTCCAAGGGCAAAAACACAGCTGCTTTCCATGATTAAGACATGCAAATTTGTTGGTCGAACATGGACAACTTATGGCAGATAAGTGCAAGTCACGGAGACATACACAACATTCTCTTTTGCAAGTGACATCGAAATCTTTTTCCATTATCCGTGACTTCAGAGAAGCGCAAAGAAATTCCCTCTTTGAACTTTCACTCTTTCTCCGTAACTACACCAAGAAAACAAATCCAACATTCTGTTAAGACAATCAATTTGAGAAAAGCCATACTCAATAGAAAACCCCTCCCTAAGGACTTCAAATCGTTCTTTTTTATAATACAGAAGAAAAAAAAGTCTCAAGCCTGCTTCAACTTCAACAGGATTTGAAGTAGACTAAAGAACAGGTCCATTAAATTGAGGGCATAGGTCTGAGGGACTTACATCAAAAGCTTTTGTTAATATCCCATCCCTTCCACATGCATCTTTCCAGTATAAATTATCTGGGGTACCCATCCCGCAGAGTCCAATCTCAAATTGTGCCCTAACAGCTTTCCTTGCTGCCCCAAGCAACAGCTTATCGTATGAAATTGATGTCCTTCGCCTTTGTTCACAATATAACTCTACAACTTTCTGTCCATGAAGCAGCCAATCAAGAGGAGCAAAACTGACTGATTCAGAAAAATTGAAACCACAATCAAATCCGGAATGGTATGCTCCTGGGAAGACAAGAACAAACTCCCGGGGATACTGGACACAGCGATATACTGGTACACCCTCTGACTTCAATATGGCGGAGGATAACTGCATCTGCTGTACCATATTCATGTAAAAACCTCAATAGTACACATGCAAAGAGATAGTGAATCCCCAGTGGCTCTCAAGACAGCAATATAAACATCTCATTCAAATAACTTGAAATTATTTATTCTCAGAAAATTGAGTGGGTTCAAGAATAAACATTTTATACTCAATTAAAGAAAAATAACAGGTATAACTGTTAGACCAAAGCACTTTACCATAAAAGAAAGATTTCCCACAAGCAGCTTCAGGTTCAGCCAACTTGAGCGTGATGATAAACAAAGTGATTATAAGAGGCATAAATTCAAGTCCTTTAACTTGAACCTGTGCTTTTGTCTCTAAGTGCCAATGTAATTTTCAGTTGTTGAAATGAAACATATAACATTTACCCTTCACTCTGATACACAGCAACTTAGCAAAGATATAAAGTGGAAACCAAAATCAAAAGCAGCTCGTACAATGGATGAAAAATGCACCAAATGAATTGGACGAAAAGTATAGCCCATGAACAATCAAACAGGAGAAAATTTCAGAAAAACAGTAGGAGTTGGGCACATAATGAAAGAGAATGAATGGAATTAATTAATTGTTAAAGACACTTATAGAGCTCATCTAAGCAATCAGATGATAATTCCAATATATAAGCATCTCTGAATGGCTTAGTTTACGACGAATGTGACAAGGTGCCCAGTGACTAAAAATCTTGCCCTATAGTCCTGTTCAAGGATTAAAAAAATATTCATAACCGGCACTCATATTTAACTCACCAAATTGTCAAGCAAATCAGACTCTTCTGCAAACAAAATTGGGAGATGCTTCTTCCTCACTGTTTCAAAGTCAGCAGCAAATCTTCCCGGAATGCTATACCAAACTCTAGGCTCTCCCACATGCATGTAACACAACGAGTACAACTGGTGCTCTTCCACTTTCTGTTCTCTCAAATGATTAACAAGATAAATAGAAAGAAGAAATTCCACAACAAAAGATATATTAATTTGCATCAACAAATTTTCCCTGAAAATCAAATAGGAATTAAGAAATATCTAAAACATGTTAAAGACAAAGAAATGAATGCAGATAGCAGGATATACAAGCTATGGCAACTAACCCAATTGAATGAAGAAAAGCACATTCCAACGTGAACCTGAGGGGCAAATTTGCTAGAAACCTCGGAGCTTTCAAATGAAAGGAGAGAACCAGCTTGTGTAAGCATATTATTTAAATTCCATCCAGATCTCATACATTCAGGATGATTTAACGACTCCACAGAATCAGACACCATTGGAAATCCACTGCTTAAAACTCCAGTCCCCAAGTCATTACCAAAAACCACCTATAGAATAGCATAAATTAGTTTCACATTAAGTCTAATATCAGAAGACATAGAATATAAGGCATTGCCTGTTTATAATTTTTTTCATTGATGTACCTCAATTTCATCAGTTGGATTTTGAGTAATTCGTCCATACTCTCCCTCAACATTTTCCACAGATGGCTCCCACTTTTCATCAGAACCCATGACATTATTGTCACGGTGGAAGTACTTGGCCTTGAAATCATCAGCAAATTTCTTAAATGTACTGAGACTGAAGGTAGGGCCAGGTTTAGACTCTAAGTCTTTAACATCATGGGGGTTTTCATTACCAGGTTGAGAGTCCAAAGCTGCTCCCGGCTCTTTTCTGGTCTTGGTCTCTACATTTTTGTAAGGGTTGTCAATAACTTCTTGCTGGCACTGAACTTGGAGGCCATCAATCCGCTGAATCTTAGTAGAAAATTTAGAGTTTTCCCATATGTTTTTTTCATCAGGAAGACATGGTGGTTGCCAAGAAGGAGGAGGAACAATACGACAGATTCCGTAAGGCTCTGCTTTGGAACGTATGCTTGCAATATATTCAAGTGTGTCTTTAAATTCCTTTAAATGTAAAAGCAACTACCTCAAACTTCTATAAACCCAAGAAGCAATCAAATCCAAATTTGAAAAAAATATAATCAAGACATAAAAAGGAAGCATGGAAATAAACAAATCTGCATCCTATTACAGTAATGCCTAAGGTACCTCTTCTGTTGGGTGGAACATTTGAACTTCATCAAGGACATCTCTTCTTGCATCCTCAGGGCACCACCTTGCAGTTACCTGATTCAAGACGTCGGTAGAATTTCTAAGCTCAAATGGTAAAGTGAAAGTGTATGCCTACCATCAATAATTTGCTCAAGATCTGGGGACAGAAAGGAACCTTCAGACAATCATTACAATCTGGACAACCAAGAGAAACCCCTTTTGGACGACAAGCGTTTGAAGAAAAACCCTGGAAAACCAATTTTAAACCACACAATTATTTTTGCTTTCATGCTAAAAAAGAAAACCATTTATGAGATCTCTGTGGCTGTAATTCTATTTCTCCAAAATGAAATAGCATAAGAAAATAACCAATCGAGTTATCCTTTGTGGAAATCATATATTAACACATTAGTTATGCTCTACCTTTAAGGTCATATTACCTGATTCACAACTACTATTGGAACAAGCATATCAAGAATCCCATGCCTCTATGCCATACACCCCAAAGACAAGCGCGCATCATTTCCCAACATACCTGAGGGAAATCCTCTGTGTTGGATTTCTCAGGGTCACAGTTGCTATGATCGAAAAGTATCCATGGACGATGCTTAAGAATTGCCCTATATGCAGCAGCATCATTTAGCTTCAATATACTCTCCATGCAGATTGGATCACATTCAGATTTATCAGTCTTTGCAACCTTTTTTAGCATGAAAGAAGTAAGGGATCTAAAACCAGGGGGGGCTGAAGGGATTTCTTTACTTTTAGATTTCACAGATTTCCTTCTATTTTTTGATTCCATAATTACTGCAACAAAGACCAAACAAAAAATCATATAAGAAGGAGCCTCAGAGCTAATTGATAGAGTGAATTCACAGCTGAACTTTGGAATAGATCTACTATATAATGAGCTTGTGAGCAGCTTACCAGTTATCACCTAGCAGAGCTATAAATCATTCAAAAGTTCACCCTAGAGCATCAAACTTTTATAATTCCCTCAAAAAGAAAAGATAAAGAACTGAAATTTCAGCTAGGGAAGACACAAGGGTGGCATGACAAAAGAAATCAAAGCCAGAAAAAAGAAAATTATATATGATCTTGTAGTTGAGTAGTTACATGGGGCCTTCATAATATGTACCGAAGGTATGGCCTTTAACTCCACTCATACTGTGCTAAGCCTAAACCCCCTGATTCAAGCAAGATGCAAACGTTCTAAGACTCCACAAGCTTCTGCATCCTCAATTGAAAATCCGCCCAATGAGCAAGTGAACTCAACCACCCATGCTCCTTGAGCATTTCTAATTAGGCATCTACAACCAGCTTGCTGTTGAATCTAGCCCCAGTGACAAGTCAGGAGGCGTGATGCCAAAAAAGAAGCTCATTGTGGATCATGGAAGAAGCCGCAGGGGCTTGCCTTAGCGCCTAAGGCACTGAGGCAAGACGCTAAACGAGTTCAGCTCCTCTCAAATTGCCTCTTGGCACCTCACTAAAGGAGCTCCTTAATCATGAAATAACCAATAAAACACAACTTGAATGGTCCAACCCAAACTTTAATATATCATTCTTTTTTCAAAATTTATCTGTCAAACTAGCCCTAACCCCATACCATTCAACAGGGTGTACAAAGGCTTTATGATGCACACACTTCAAAATTAGCTAGAAATGTATGGCAGTCATTTATTTTAGTTTAATCTATACTCCCTCCATTTTCAAATATAACAGAAAATAACCAATTTACACAGTTTAAAAAAGTTAGTTAAGTATAATAATCATGTCTGAAATTAAAAAATTTGGACTGAAGTATCCCTGTAATTAATGAAACAAATTTGTCTAGTGAAAATAAACATTGACTTTATGAGAGACAATTTAGAAAACTTGTGATCAATGCTTCTTGAAATTTGTAGTTTTTCTTATAAATCAAAATAAAGAGACACATGTTAGTTTCTCTTATATTTCAAAATATAGAGAGTATAATGGCAGTATTTTAAGTTACATTTATCCTTATATACATACATATATATATATATATATCATATTCTTCTTATTTTAGCACCTGGATGTTTGCTTTTCTAGCACCTATCGCCTAAGGCGTTTTAGAGGTCTAGCAACTTAAGGGCGCCTTTGTCCTTTCACTACTGCAAGCATTTGCTTTGCTCGCTCTTAGTTCCATGCTAATGGCTGTGTGCTTCAGAGAGTGTAATACTCTTTCCTGTCCAATAATCTTAAAAAAAGCCATACCTCTTCCCTACTTCTTACTTGCCACATGGAACCCCATTAATGATTAGGGCCAGCTGACAGCCCTTGAATGCTTGCATCCCCTGATGGTACTTCCCCTCTCGATATAGACCGTTTGTTTATGGGATCTCCTATGCATCCACTGATGGCGAAAATCTATAGGACCACGTATGCTTAATTTTTAGCTCAAATTATTTTTAATTACTTGAATTCAACAGCTCATCAATTGTCAATGAGATAGATTAGAACATGACCAAAAAGCACAAACAAAATGAAGCAACAATAACATGAGAAATCGAAGAAAAAATATGCTGTTCCGTTCAGGTCAAATAAAATTTTACAGAGGATTATATGTCATGCTATAGGCTCAGGAAAACTAATAATATCATTGAATGCACACCTTTTCAATGTAACCATAATAACTTATTTTTATGATTCAAAGAATCAAATAAATGTTGCTCCTTCCTGTTCTACGAATCAATCGAATATACACCCTTTCAATTAATCAAACAAATAACTTGAACCAGCGGAACCTTCAAGCAGCACGAGACTATGAACAGATCGAAACATAGAAATAGAGGAAGAGATTGAACCAGATTTGGATCTATTGCCGCAGCCGTCATACCCATGCCACCGTCATATGCCGCCGCCGCCGCACGCCTCTGCTTGTAGGGAAGAGTGAAATCGACGACATGTAGCCACGGGAAGAAATGAGGGATTGTGAGGTTAGAAAGCATTGGACGGTTGAGATTAGCTGATAACACTGAACGGGTCAGATTTAAATGTGTTAAATGAAACGGTGCGTTGCAACGAGCTGCATTGATTTTTTTTATTTTTTCCATTAAAATGCAAAAATACCGGAAACTTGGTATCATTAACAAGGGTTCATAATCTCATTAGTTTTATAAAAGAAGTTAACTTTTTGTAATCTTTAAATTATATTTTTATATTTTAACTATTAGCGTGAAGCTATTTTAACAAATTAAAAAGGTTAACAGATAAATGGACCAAAACTAGATGCATTGATTCAAGACTCACGTAACAAGAATTGATGTACATTTTACATTACTATATTATGTATAAATAGATTATTGATATAACAATTATAAATATTAGGATATTATATAGATGTACATTATCTCATTATATTTTTTAAATTTTCTGATATCTTTTGTTTACTATAACATATTTCACTTATTTTTATCTTATATATTTAATTTAATTGTTATACTTGTGCTTATAAATATAATGCATCTTAATTGTATTGAGTATGAGAAAGCTCTCAATTTTCTCATTCTTTAGTGTCATTAAGGGTGCACTTCTATTTTTGTTTTTCAATTTATTTTCATTTATCCTATTAATGGATTTGATATTAATACTCATACTAATGAACATCTCTGATATTGATGGAAGGCACGAGAGAATGATAAGTAAGGACCTTAAAAAAATTAATATTAAATTAAAATTTCTTTAATACTAAAGTTTTCAAATTCAATACTATTTCTCACATGTTTTAATATTAAAATTCTTGATTTAACATTAATTTTTTTTACAAGATCTTTACTTGTTATTCTCCCATGAATGCACACTCTATTGAAAAACAAGACAATCTCTATAATATATTTACTTTGTTGTTTATTTATTTATTTATTTATTGAAATCATTTAATCAATTGTTGTCTTCTTCTCTTGATTCAATTATGTATTATGTGCCATATCTAAAAGTATGAGATACAATTTATATTTTAGAAAATATGGATTATGATTCATGAAGTTATCCACAAATAAAATAGAGTTTATCTAAAAGTTATTCACACATAATATAAAGTACATTTGAATGAATTCACAAATAATATAAATTTGGATTATGAAGTTATCCACAAAACTTGAAATTATCCATGCAGCATAATGTAGATCCTAAAAATATCTACATTTATTTATTTATCCTACATTCAACTACTTGTCTATATATATAATTTGTCTAACTATTTACATATATAATTTTTCATAAAAGTGGATCTTGAAATTATTTACATAGTAGATAAAGTAGATCTCAAGGTTATCTATGGAACTTGAAGTGGATCCTGAAACTATTCACAAAGTATAAAGTAAATTCTAAAATTAGCTACATTTAATTATTTATTTTTATTTCTTCAAAAAAATATTTTATAACTACCGTATATCAGTTTGTTTACTTTATTTGTTATAATCCTATCTCAATTTTTTTGTATATGATAATATGAAGTTACTAACATTATTAATATAGATGGCGCATTCTTCTCAATTTATAACATATGCATATATATATAGGCAATAGTGTCTTCTATTTACATGTATAAATATATCAATTAAATTAAATATATAAGATAATAATAATTGAAGGATATTATAGTAACCAAAATATATTAGAGAGTCTAAAAGATATGGTGAGATGATGGACATCAACATAATATCTTAATATTTAAAAGAGTTCATATTGGATGTCCAAATATTGTGCCTTGTTAAAACTTCACTAAGAAAAACCTAATGAGATAAAAACTTAGTGAAAAAATAATACACAATGTTATCATATTTATTGAAGCTGCCTTTTTAAAAACCTTATCAAGAAAACCTAGTGAGACAAAATCCTAATTAAGGAAATAATAGTACAACATCACTTTTACTCCTTTTGATGATAACATCACTCCTTGCTCTTGAGCCTTCCTGAGTCATTGTGTCACATATTATGTGTCAATTTCTTAAGTATTATTTTTTGTTGATACCTTTGCAAGCTGATATTTTCTTCCAACTGGACTATACATGAACTATTGTTTTCATGTAATATTTTGAAACATCTTCTCTATATTGGTGCAAATCTAGTGGGCCAATAGAGAGCTATAGACAACCCAACCCAATTAATAGAGCTAGATCATGAAGGGTATGGCAAAAGGAGTGGAGGTGAAGTACTTAAAGCCCAAAAGGAGTTAGAATGTGTGATTGAGTCCCATCCCCATAAAGGCCATATGATTCATAAGATTCAAGACCATCATCTTGTGTCCAAGGATCTAATACAAGGTGTTACAAGCCTAGAGACATATCTCAACACAAGAATGTAAAAGAGCCCAATGATTGTATCATAAGAAAACTTTAAGAGCCCCGGTATGTAAGAGAGGCATTCCAAGAGCAAAGGGAGCCCATTTGTGATAATCAAAGTATTACAAGTACAATTCATTTATCCATAAGAAGGCCATCTAAACTTTTTAAAGTGTCCTAATTCACCATGTGCTAATTGGAAACAAGGGATGTGGGTTAAGAGAGAGAGGAGCACGTCCCAAACCCATCTTAAAGAGGACCTAATCTTGTTCAAGGTCTAAATTCATGAAGATAAAAGCCTAATTAATGAAGACCCAAGCCTATTTAATTCACTATGTGTTAAATATGCTTGAGGGATATTATGGACAATAGGAGCACGCATTTATGAGCAAATTTGAAAAGGGAGAAGGCCGCATTTATGATCATAAATGAGGAGAGAGAAGGCATGATTTCCATCATCTTCAAGCTTTCAATGCGAATTTGAATTGTTTCTTATTTTGTTCTAAGTTTGAATTTCAAGACTAAATTGATTCCCTCTTTTATTTTTAGCTTTAATGCTGATTCTTGTTTATTATTATGGCTTTATTTGGTGATTTGACTTAAGGTGTAAGACTTTAGTTATTGGAAAAGTTTTTGAACTCTCTCATTTAGCCATTATTGCTAAATCTCCAAGAAACAAGGAATCTTCCTTTTTGAGGAGATGGCGCCATTATAGAGGGAGTCATCTAGGGTTAGGAATTCTAGAGTCTTCTATCTTGCCTATAAATGGGCCCCCTTATATACTCTTTAAACCAAGTAATGAATGAAAATTTTTTCTTGAATTTGATAAAACTCTGTGTGCAAGCTGTGCTTGCTTGTGGAAATCCTAAGGTGAATACTGGTGCGATCGAGAGTCTGATCAACTCTTGTGATCTCTCAAAGTTTTCCTTTTCCTTGATTATTGTCTTTTCTTTATCATTACCTTTATCTTTACATTTCTTTGTTTCATTTTCACTTCTTTTATTCATGTTCTGCGTTCCATCCTGAATTAGCACAATTTTGCTCCTGTGCCCATATCAACACCTCTTTTGGATATGAATGCACTTTCCACTTTTCGTATATTTTTTAGGAGTAACAATAAAAGCCACTAATAAACAATCATGATATACATGTATTTTCATGGATAAATAATCTCTAGAAGGTCAATTTGTATAGCTTAAATTAAGCATGTATAACACATACATAGTCAATTAATTTTGATAATGAATAAGTTTAGTAGAGCAACCACACATAATAAATTCTTAGGCATATCATATCAAGTACATAATTTTGTTGCAAATCAAAGCAATATTATAAATTGTGATATTAAAGCATTCATAATGGTGTTTCAGAACCATATTTCATTATCCTTTTGAAGAAAAATAATATTGATTTACATTCGATCACCCCATATTATAACATAGTTCTTTAACAATCAAGTGCTCATGTAAACTTTTTATGATATTCAGTAATGCTCAATCAATCAATTTTTTTATGCAAATTAATATGTATATATTAATGTGAACAAATGCAATGATAAAGAAAATTCTTCAAGAATATTTATAAACTTTTATTGTAACATCTTAATTTTTATAACAAATATCATATAATGACAACAATAACGACGACGACAATAACACCTTGTCAATTAGACATTAGGATCCCAATAAAACAACCAAGGCTTTTAAACTTACAACCATTTTTCATAAATTAAACAAAAAACAAGAAGAGACTTTAATAAAAAGGATAAGGCTCTGCTAAAAATCAAATAAAATAACTCTTTAAAATAGTTTCAAAGGACCCAAAGTACTATAATTTATTAGTTTAAAACCAAGAAAATAGTAACTTAAATGCACACTCTTAGGTCATGGCAATAAACAAAGCATAAACTAAACATGTATGATACCTAGAGGATAATTGAGTCATTGTTCAATCCCTCCACACCTTCCCTTGTGGCCTATCAAAAACTAAACTTAAAAATTGATAGAGGTAACATGTAAGACCAATCATTTTAGTAACATATGAGAATTTTAAATATACTAGCAAACTAGTTCAAAATCTTATTTCACAATATCTATTTGTACATAATATCTTTTGCAATACTAGTTTGCAAAATGTGTTTTGAAATAAGGGAACAAAACTTGTTTAATTCAAAAGTATAACAAAAAAGTCATATAAACAAGTGATGTCATCCTTGATCCCCCCTTTTACCTCGTATCCATTTTATCCTGCTAGCTGAAGTCTAGCTCAAAGATACACCTAACCAAATGTGCATTGCCTGTAAGACTAAACTTCCTTCCTTAAAAGAAGGTGCCCAATGTCCTATTGTCCTAAACAGCCAAACCAAGGGAAATGAGCCATAACAAGAAATACCAACTACGAGATCTTTAGTGTTGGCTTACTATGTGGCCAAAATGGTAACAAAAACCGCAGCGCATCCACTATAATCATATTCTCCCCTATACTCCTTACAATTGCATAACATTCGCAAGGTTCCAAAACACACAAGTATGCTTTAAAAGAGAAAAAACATATTTCTTATAACATTTCAAATATTCATAAGCATGCTTGAAAGGATTTGAATAATTATAAATAACT